CAAAAAACACAACTTTTTGCGTTCAAAAAAGTCCCTGACCCTTTCCAAAAAAGGCACCAGGTGAAGATGCGCAGATGTGAACATGTCCCACAGGAAATAATGTTAAATGGACTGTATTGCGTTTGTGCAAAACGCTGCAGAAAACAATTAGGTGTGAACCTAGGGTAATGGTGAGCACTGAATATATATATATCTATATTTACATACATACATATATATATATATATATATATATATATATATATATATATATATATATATATATACACACATACACACACACACACACATATATATATATATATATATATATATATATATAAATAAAACACACACCTGTGGATGTAAGCTGCCTAAAATCCTTCTGTCTCTTCATGTAATCCCAGAGAGGGATGTTGAGATCAAAGCTCTATGGGGGCAAAACCACCACTTTCAGAACTCCTTGTACTTTACACTGAAGACAGTTCTTCATGACATTGGCTGCATGTTTAGGGTCGTTGTCCTGTTGCAGACTAAATTTGGTGACATTCACAAAGCTCCCTGATGGCATAAGATGATGGACAAGTATCTGCATGTAATTCTTAGCATTGAGGACACCATTGTTCCTAACCAAATCTTCAACTCTCTCTGAAGATATGCAACCCCAAACTTGCAAGGAACCTCCGCCATGCTTCACTGCTGCCTGCAGACACTCATTGTACAACTCTCCAGCTCTTCACAATCAAACTGACTCTTCCTACAACCAAATTTCAAATTTTTATTGACTGGTCCAGAGCACTTGCTGCCAGTTTTCTGCACCCCAGTGCCTGTTTTCAGGCATAGTTGAGTCCCAGCACTGTTTCCACGTCAGAGGTGTGGCTTTTTGGCAGCAATCCTTCCATGAAGACCACATCTGGCCAGACTTCTCTGGACAATAGATGGGTGTATCTGGGTCCCACAGTTCTGTTGGTATTGCTGGACATTTTCCAACGCAAAAGAGAAGTATGATGTGTCTTTCATGTGCTGCATTAAGTTTCCTTCGCCAACCACTGCGTCTACGGTCCTCAATGTTGCCCAATAAATGGTGTCTTCAATGTAGAAAAATACAGGCAGATACTTATCCATTATGCCATATCATCAGGGAGGCACGTGATTGGCCTTAAATTTATTTTGCAGCAGGACAACAAAACCAAACATACAGCCATTGCTATTAAGAGCTATTTTCAGCGTAAAGAACAAGGAGTCCGAGTCCTGGAAGTGATGGTTTGGCCACCAGAGAGCCCTGATCTCTACATCATCAAGTCTGTCTGGGATTACATGAAGAGACAGAAGGATTTAGGTACTAGATAATATTTTTACTCTTGCACTTGCAGTCCTCAGAAAGCTGCAGGTGTTCCCCTGGAACCCCAACTTCCTGGTAATAGACACTTCTCCCATATCCCACAAAACACTGCTTGGTAACCCACCTTCCGGCCAAGGTATTTCTATGTGGGAAGGTAGAAGGGATTGCACCTATGCTTATCCACATTTTTATTATTTGCGCTTCATGGTGCCTGCTGGTTGGAAATTTAGTGTGTACGTTTTACAATGAAGCCTTTACACTACCAAAATCTATTGGCTATCCAGTTTTTACTAACCAATCAAAAAAAAAACAAAAACTGGATTGGTGGTGATACCAGTGCAAAACTGATAAACATTGGCCTTTTAAAAAGGGGCCCAAAATTTTAGAACCCTAAGAAACACTAGGAAAAGAACACCGAGGCAAGTGAGGGTTACTATGCATCACTGTACTAGCATTCCCCGAAGATGGAAATGGCGTCACCAAGGGTCCTGAACTGGGGAGCTCCAGTGAGTATAACTGATTTCACCAGGTAAGGAAAACAAAAACCTTGAAGGAGGGGTTAGAGGGAGGTGGAAGGGAGTAACAGGAAAAAATAGATTCTGGACAGATAAGGGCTTTATTAAAAGGTTCTATCAAATGGGAGGTTATAAATGTTCATGTATAAGACCATGTCCGTAACAGTCAGAGAGTTGTTTGACTCAGTGCATGTTACCCAGAACTCAGCCTAGTAAATTGTGAGAACTATATGCATTAATATACAGTGCATCCAGAAAGTATTCATATCGCTCAACTTTTGCCACATTTTATGTTACAGCCTTATTCCAAAATGGATTAAATTCATTTTTTTCCCCTTTTCCATCTTTGCAATTTATTAAAAATAAAAAAAAAACACATGTACATAAGTACTCACAGCCTTTGCTCAATACTTTGTTGAAGTACCTTTAGCACTAGTTACAGCCTCAAGTCGTTTTGAGTTTGATACTACAAGCTTGGCACACCTATTTTTGGGTGATTTCTCCCATTCTTCTTTGCAGTACCTCTCAAGCTCCATCAGGTTGGATGGTGAACTTCAGTTCACAGTCATTTTTAGATCTCTCCAGAGATGTACAATCAGGTTCAAGCTTGGGCTCCTGCTAGGCCACTCCAGGAAATTCACAGAGTTGGCCCGTAGCCACTCCTTTGTTATGTGAGCTGTGTGCTTAGGGTCATTGTCCTGTTAAAAGAAGAACCGTCGCCCCAGTCTAAGGTCCAGAGCACTCTGGAACAGGTTTTCATCAAGGATGTCTCTGTACATTGCTGCATTCATCTTTCCTTTGATCCTGACTAGTGTCCCAGTTCCTGCCACTGAAACATCCTCACAGCACGATGCTGCCACCACCATGCTTCACTGTAGGGATGGTATTGGCCAGGTGGTGAGCGGTGCCTGGTTTCCTCCAGACATGACGCTTGGCATTCAGGCCAAAGAGTTAAATCTTTGTTTCATCAAACCAGAGAGTTTTGTTTCTCATGGTGTGAGAGTCCCTCAGGTGTCTTTTGGCAAACTCCAGGCGGGCTGCCATTTGCCTTTTACTGAGGAGTGGCTCCCGTCTGGCCACTCTACCATACAGTAGAGGAAGATGAAAGAAAGAGCGCACAAACCTTGCGCATTACCTCAATAAATAGTGACTAATTTTTTATTAATAAGGAAATATACTCACAAAATGATTGTAGAACAGGCATAAGTAACCATAATCCACACAGGGTTACAGGTAAATCAAAAAGGGGGGGTATGAAGGCTAACGCGTTTCGAAGGGTGCTCCCTTCTTCATCAGAGCTGGGTTTGGCAGATAGAAACTTCAGTATGGCAGAGTTCCCATGGCAAGGAGATATTCAGCCACTGAGTGTCAGTATTACAGCAGTTCAGGCTGAACTGCTGTAATACTGACACTCAGTGGCTGAATATCTCCTTGCCATGGGAACTCTGCAATACTGAAGTTTCTATCTGCCAAACCCAGCTCTGATGAAGAAGGGAGCAACCTTCGAAACGCGTTAGCCTTCATACCCCCCCCTTTTTGATTTACCTGTAACCCTGTGTGGATTATGGTTACTTATGCCTGTTATACAATCATTTTGTGAGTATATTTCCTTATTAATAAAATTAGTCACTATTTATTGAGGTAATGCGCAAGGTTTGTGCGCTCTTTCTTTCATCTTCCTCTACAGTTTTATTAAGCTTCCCCAGCTTCATGATAGAGCTGCACAACCTCTGATCACCAGTGGATAAATACACAACACGCTGCTTGTCACTAACGCCTGTTTGATCTGAGTCCTTGAGCGCAGGAGATAATGGATCTTTGGTCACTCTACCATACAGGCCTGATTGGTGGAGTGCTGCAGAGATGGTTGTTCTTCTGGAAGGTTCTTTTCTCTCCACAGAGAAACGCTGGAGCTCTTTCAGTGACCATCGGGTGCTTGGTTACCTCTATGGCTAAGGCCCTTCTCTCTCGATCGCTCATTTTGGCCAGGCGGCCCTCTCTAGGAAGATTCCTGGTGGTTCCAAACTTCTTCCATTTACAGATGATGGAGGCCACTGTGCTCATTGGGACCTTCAATGCTGCAGAAATTATTCTGTACCCTTCCCCAGATCTGTGCCTTGATACAATCCTGTCTCAGAGGTCTACAAACAATTCCTTGGACTTCATGGCTTGGTTTGTTCTCTGACATGCACTATTAACTGTGGGACCTTATATAGACAGGTTTATGTCTTTCCTAATCATGTCCAATCAACTGAATTTCCCACAGGTGGACTACAATAAAGTTGTGGAAACATCTCAAGGATGATCAGTGGGAACAGGATGCATCAGAGCTCAATTTTGAGTGTCATGGCAAAGGCTGTGAATACTTATGTTCATGGTTTTTTTTTTTTTTTTTAATAAATTTCAAGGATTTCAAAACGAACTTTTCACGTGGTCATTATGTGTTATTGTTTGTAGAATGTTGAGGAAAAAAATTAATTCAATCCATTTTGGAATAAGGCTGTAACATAACAAAATGTGGCAAAAATTAAGCGCTGTGAATACTTTCTGGATGCACTGTATGTACTACATATGCAGTATTCATTATATGGGTATTTATTGCACATTCCCGGTTAGGCATACTTGCAGACAGTTGCAAGTATGCCTAACAGCCAGTTGCAGACAGTTTTAGAAACTTTAAAGGACTGTAAGCACTCTTGTTCCAAGCCTTGTCCCTTTTACTGCACAGCTTGCTGCAATGGTAACTAAAGGTACTGTATTAATAAAAAACAAAATAAAAAAAAGAGGAATTCACATTCTGAATATTATCTTTCATACAAATATCCTATTTTTAGGATAGTGGTCCTGTAACAAAATTCTTCACAGCTAAATCTAAAGCATTGACTAACTGCTCACTATAAAATCAAACATCTTATTTTCACAAACAAAATATGTTTTAATAATCAGTGACATGCCTGGCATGTGCCCTCTAAAATGTATTTTCTAGGGAATAAAAATAGATTCTGTTAAACTTCCCTGGAGAAACTAGATTGTGCTGACATAAGTGAACATGCCCAAACACAGCCATCTGTCGTTGGTATGACCCTGTGTTTATTCACCTGCACAGATTACTCTGAGCATTAAACTGCTCCTCTGACACACACAACGTTAGGATAGATTCTCACCTTGCCAGAAGGAAAGGAAGATGACTGACTTCACCATGAAGAACTTGAGCACAGGACTGTAAGGACTAAGAAGCTCTCGTGTTGCAAAGTAGAAGAGAAACAAAGCATAGAGTGCAAGACTGACTGAGATGTTGTAAATAATTGTTACATAGAGGTAACCACTGGCCACACTGCAATGACAAAAAGACCATGGTGAAACATTTTGTTTTCAAGAGAGGAGAAAAAAAAAAAAAACAGTTTGGTTGACTAACTGAAATTAATGTTTACATCCTAATTGAAAGAATTTCTGCAAGCACATGTATTAGGCTCCTTTCACACGGGTGTCATCCATTCAGTCACATTTTTGCCAAGAAAAAACTGATTCAGTTTACATCAGTTAACATCTATCTTCCATTTAGTCCAGTTCCATGTACATCCATTTTTTGTTGCTATAGCTTTTTAAAACACAAAATAATAAATGCAGATTTGTTCGGTTTAAAAATGGACCTGAACAGAAATAAAAAAAATGGATGATGTAAATTTACATCTATGCACATAGGAATGCACTGCTGTCCTTTTTTCATCAATCAACAGACAGATGAAAAACGAAAAGATGGAACGAAAGCCCATGTGAAATAGACCTTAGACAACTTTCTCACAAGTGATCCGACAGGGTCTGCCTTTCAGTTTTTCAGGTGGACCTGATTGGATGGTCCATGTATCCCTATGGATCAGTGGGTGTAAAACAACTTGCGTCCGTTTACACCCGCCTACATCCAATCCGATCTGCTAAAAGAAAAAAAACGGAAGGGGATCTGTCCATCTCTGTCTAGATGATTGGATGGCACATTATATACACCCGTCAGTCCATAGAGCAGAGCGGGCTGTGTCTGTGTTCACTCTGCATAAACTGAGAGGACACTGACCTGTCATTGACCCGCTCTCAGGACAGATCCGCTGTTGAGCAATTTTTCACACACTACTGTAATGTGACTGCAATCTAATTCTCACCGTACATACCTCAATTTTCAAGCAATTTCAACTTTCAGTTTTAGACAACTTTAAGCCAACCTTTAATCCTTTCACAATTTTCCTTCAAGTGTCACTAAACCCACAACAGTAAAATCTGTCTGAATATGCAGTAAAGCATGCTTGTTATACTCACTGTGGAACCTAAGGGGTTAATCCACATAGTGTAAAAAGAATGTTTGATCCTCTCTTCTCTGATCCTCCCCTTCTTCCAGTGTCTCCTAAATATCTCCTGATAGAACAGAGGCTTGGGGTCACTCTGCACATGCTCAGTTTGATGTTTATTGCAATAGTTTTTTTTTCTTGGGAAAGTGCATGTGATCAGCACAGGGCCAATTGGCACTGTCCAGACAGAGGTCAGGGGTCCTGCATCCTCCTACAAAAGAATGAAAACCCCTCCTACAAGCTGTAACCAGTGCTTTGCTAAACACTTATATAAATCACAAGACTGCTCTAACTGCTAATGATAAAAGGTATTTAGCAGTTTATATTTACTAAAATAACTGCATTTCCATGTTTTGTGTACTGTGGTGGACCAGATATAGTGAATGCAGGGTCCTGGGTTTAGTAACACTTTGCTGGTGGCAGGTTGCATTATTCCATTTGGTAATTTTTACTATGGAAAGCTGACTGAAAGTGGATAAGATTGTTATACATTAAAAGTTCTAATACTTTTAAACACACTAAATACTGAATAGATCAAGACAACCGGGTTTTGAATTTGGGAGATGGAAGATTTAATTCTTGCTCTGAAAAAACAGGATGAGAAATACTTTCAAGTTTTGACCCTATACAGAGGAATGACCTGAACCCAGGGAAAGACTGACTAAAATGATTGCTTTTCATTCTTAGACTATCTTCAGTGTTGGCCATGTAGTCTTTATGTGGTAGGTGCAAGAAGAGAGATACTTCCCCTACCACGCTTGTCCTTTACCCCTGCTCTTTATCTCCAGCCATTCTTCCCACAGCTTCAACCCCACTAAGTTTGACTTGCACACACACACTACAATTTTATGGTATCATCTCTTTTCAATTTACCAAAAATTATATAGTGTGAGAGCCTACTTACACAATCTAAATTTATATCCAATAATGTAAGCCCTTATACTATACATTTGTTGATAAATCTACAGGAGACTCTAAATCTAAAGCAGCAAAAATGTGTGGCACTTTTTAAATTCATGAACAGCTGGTAGTGCCCAAGTGGATATACACTCAATGCAAAGTCTACAGTAGGTAGGCACTAGCACTACACTACTGTTGGAAAATGTAAAGGAGATTTGACAAAATATAAACATATTATGATGTAGGTGGCCAACAAAGTATCCTTTTACTTTGCCAGTGCAGGGGTATGTGAAGTGCAGTGCACAACTGCATAATCGAATGTTGGTTTTCCAGCAAAACCATTTGACAGAAGACAGTCTTAACGACTGGCTTCTGCTGAACAGACAGTGGTACACATGTACTGGCTTTTGTTAAATAGACAGTGGTAAAAAAGGTCTTGCTGAAACGGCTTACTTTCAGTGCGTGATTTTCCAGTATTGGATAGTTTGTGGAAGCCTCAAACCCTCAAGTTTTAACTGTGTTCCACTGAGTAGATTCACCACTTCCGTTATTTGTTCTGGTGACTACTATGCCCAAGACTGAAAGTGATAGGAAATCCATAATTTAGCATTGTCAGCAAAGCAAAATGTTAGAGGAAATCTTCCACTGGAAACACCTGTTATAGTGACAGCTGTCTAAGACATAAATTCCTTACACTTTTTGAGATTTTCTTTTATTTCATGTTGCTTCTTTCAGACAGGAAGTGAAGGGAAATCGCCCCAGTGGAAAAAGACAGCAAAGAATAACCATTCCAGATTTTATCAAAAAAAAAACCAAACGCGCGTGTCTTTGCATACACTTTAATCTCTTACTGTCCTTATAAAGCATATTTGCAGCAGCAAATTGGGTGGGCATTTACGCTCACACGCTGCACATATGTGTTCCAAGGGGGTGAATGAGCTCCTACAATCCCCCCACCCTCCCACTAGTCTTGCTGCATCTCCATCACAGGCTTCGGCCTGTTCCCTGGGCCATGACTCCCACACCTCCTCTATCCTGGATTAAGAAATGGCTGATATATTCCTCAGCCAAAGTAGTGATGCGGACCCTGACCTAGACAGTCCTGAGAGATCTCCGGCACTTCCACCTGTCCCGCCGCAGTTTTCGGGGGACACAACCCTTATTGCCCGCTTTGCTGATCTGTTACAAGGGGAACTGAATAAGGCTACTACTAAATTAGCAGCAGATTTAAAGCAGGACTTCCAGGAATTGGGCCAACATATAGATAGTAAAGTAGATGCCATGGTCCATAATGCGTCTGAAAACTCCAATATGATTACTGAATTACAAGATCCACTGAAGAAGCTTACTCTAAAATAGATGACCTGGAAAAGTGTGCCTAACGCTAAATTTCCATATCCGGGTGCTCCCAGACATTCGCTATCTTTGGGCTTAAGTTTACCTACAATGGATAACCTTATGCATTCTCTACATTTCATGAAGGCAAAAAGATCCTGCTCCAATTGGGCATCATCTTGCATAGTCCTTCATTCCACACCCAATCGAGATCCGACGCTCAGCCTCTGCCACTCTTGTTTGCCTGAACGTCACGGAAGATGAAGTCATATCGTAAAGCGACTTCTTCATTGCAGTTTTTGTTACCTTTTCCGTAGTAGCTTCTCCGTGGTTTTCTTTTGGGAATAGTAGCTGCCATTCTTTCTATACTGACCTTTATGGTCTGCCTCGAAATAATGCCTCCCCATCCGTTAACCATTTCCTGACATCTTCGACTCTCCCATCTCTTCAGGAAGCCCATAGAGACCTAATGGACCAGCCTATCACTTGTGAAGAAATCCAGAATGCTGTAAAAACTTTGGCTCCACATAAATTACCAGGACCGGATGGTTTTCCTCATACTTATTATAAAACCTTTTTTGATCCCACATATGGCTTATTACTTTATCTACGGGACGGGGGTGTGGTGCCATTTGATGACAATAGAGTGTATATTAGTGTCCTTCCCAAGCCTAATAAAGATACTACTGCTGTTCCTAATTACCATCCTATTTCTCTAATCAATTGTGACCTTAAGATCCTTACTAAGGTCTTGGCTTTATGCCCTAATATGTTTTTAGCACACTACATTCATGATGATCAATCAGGATATATTAGAGGCCGTCAAACCCCTGACCAAACTCGTCGAACTTTGGAATTACTATCTGCTGTACAATCTAGCTGGGATAATTCCCTGCCGAGGGAAGTATTACTGCTGTCTCTAGATCTTCACAAAGCATTTGATAGTTTGACCTGGGACTATTTGTTTCAGACGTTGGGCGCCTTTGGGTTTGGCTCCTCCTTTCGGTCTCTCTTACAAGCTTTATATTGCAACCCCTCAGCTCAGGTTTCTATTCGGATATAAGTCGGCTTCTCTTTCTATTAGGAGAAGCACTAGGCAGGGTTGTCCACTCTCCCCCTTACTCTTTGCATTGGCAATAGGACCTCTTGCTATTGCTATTCGTCCTGACCCTACCATTTCAGGTATTCATTGCAGCTGACGCAAATGTGCCCTGTTTGCTGAAGATGTCCTTATGTATGTTTCCAACCCCCGAAGGTCTTTGCCCAATTTGTTGACTTTACTTCATCGATTCGCTTTAGCTTCGGGTCTCACTCTAAATTCTTCTAAAACAACTGCATTAAATATCACTTTACCATTTTCGGAGGTTCAGTACCTTCGAGACAACTTTGATTTTCAATGGGCTTCCCGCTCTCTTCCCTATCTGGGGATCCATCTTACACGTTCCATTACAGCATTATATTGTGCCAATTATCTCCCACTTTTCAAAAGACTCAAGGACGATTTGTGTAATTGGGCGGATTTCCCTTTATCTTGGTTTGGTAGAATCAACTCTATCAAGATGAGCCTTTTACCAACATTGCTCTATTATTTTTGGACATTACCAATTGCGGTTCCTAGAGGTGAAATATTGCGCTTACAATCCAACATTTCTCGATTCGTGTGGGGTAACAGACGTCCTCGGATCAATAATTTGACCTTATATTCCCAGAAAAAGCATGGCGGTTTTGGGACTTTCTAACCCTTTGGCTTATTTTTCACGTG